GGAAGATGACCCTGCTCATGGCAGGGGGGTTGGAACCAGATGATCTTTCAGGTCCCTTCCAACCCTTATCATTCTATGATTCTTTGATTCTATGAAATATCATATGGACTAATTCAGTTTGATATAAGAAAGCAGAATTCTAGTTAGCACCACTTTAAGTAGGATCCCACTTTAATCAGTATGTCAAAACACAGACAGGAAAATACCTAACCATTTGTTTATATGGTTTTGTGAGAAAGGCTGAAAAAAACTCAACTGTTCTCGGATACTCGCAAAGTTCTACAGACACTGAAGGCAAAATAATAATTATAGATTACATACTGTACAGTGGAATGGAAAGGGATCGGGAATAAATTGATAGGCAAATACTATTTTACCCATTCATTTCTGGTACCTGACAAAACCAGACAGAAACATAACTGTTGACTAGTAGATTACTACATGGACTCAGAAACATACAATGTATGACCTCCTGACAAGCAGGTTACTTTCCCCCTGACAGTCCGATGTTCCTAATTTCATTCTTGCAACAGGTTGTGCCACACTTTTCACTAAAGAAAAGCCCTAGACAAGAGAAGTTGATCACCATAAATTAAGCCAAAGCTTAAAAGCATGGAACAATTGCTCAAAAAATATTATTAATGACTCAAGATGTGTCTTTTGGCTGTGTTTTATTCTAGGACAAACCTCACCAAAAGCCTCTTTTACAGCTTCAGTCAACATTTCCTCTGTTTAGCACTGAAGACAAAACTGGAGTCTGAATTACTTCCAGTGTATGGGGAGGACTTAGGTCCACTTTACCTTTTGCTTTATAACCAGTATTTCCAGATTTTGTACAGAGCAAAAGGTAGAAGCAATCTTCTGTGGAATTTTATAAGATCTTGATATAAATTTCCCCTAGTTTGGGACTGCTTGGCTATTGGGATTTGGTTTGGACTTACTTCTATCAAATAGATTCACTGACACGTGAAAAACACTTCTTATTATTATTTCAAAGCTTTATTTTTTTCTATAAGCATAGAACAAAGATTCTTACCAGTAACCTTCAATTCAACTGTTCTTCGTATAAGCTTGCCTTCAAACTTCAGTTCACAGGTATAATTTCCTCCATCTTCTTCCTGGACCTCTTGTATCAAGAGAGTATTTCCCTTCTGAATTACAACGCTTCTCCACATTTTTGGCTTACATTCCTGCAGGAAAAAAGTCCATTGCCAAAATTACCCAGCTTGTAAGACATAAGACAGTGTTGCCTGATCAGATTTTCAGTATTATACATAAATAAACAGCCATCTCAATATATTTTGCAATTTAAATTCAAATGTAATTTCAGAAAGCACAGAGATCTGAAACTGGAATTAATTTGAAGACAGAAATTAAACACAAATGTTTTTAAGGTTCAGTAATTCCCACTGTATGACATGGGCCATGTTTAATACGCAGTACCCTGAAGCAATGGTTAAATATCTTCTCTTTTTCATGATGAACTGCCAAGACCTCTACTTTGGGATGGACCATTAAAATACATCTCTGTTTGAAGGGAGTAAGGGCAACATCTGTTAAGAGTTAGCCTGAAGGCAAACTTTATGCACAGTCTCAGGCTGGAATCATTTACCAACAGAAGAAAACAGGCAGAACAACAGCAGTTCTGTGAGCAAGAGAATTTGGGAAGCCTGGTTTCCTTATGGTCTCATTTCTCATCACAGGCTTCTCTGGCAGCAGATGAGGCCTGATCCAGCCTTTTCCCATCGCTGGGGTTA